CCCCAAAACCCCAAAACCCCAAAACCCCATTTTTTTTAAGTAATATTGAATTTTTTAATAAAATTGAAATGAGGTACAGCCAGACTTGGGTCAAGTTGGTATTCTCTATGGTGGTTTATGTCCATTTCGTAGCGGCTAATGTGTACACAGTGAGGATGTGGAGAGAGTTTAGTGGTCATTTAGGTAAGGCAATATTGTACATTGGAAAAGGGACTTACATTCACACCTGTTTGTTCGATTCTTTATATCTTGAATGACATTTCTCATAAAAATACTTCATCTGCATTTAAAATTTTATCTAAAATTTGTGGATTCTGAAGCAATGATAAATCTTATTAAGACAGATTCATCTACTTCTTGACTAAGTGTTTCACCTAAATTTAATTAATTTTCATTCAGGTTATTCCTACATACACTTTGCAGTTTCAATGTGAGTAATAACTTATGGAAACTTGAGAGTTACAGAAGAGATTGTTCTCAATAAAGGTATGGATATTGAAGATGTATTCCAAAATCACAGAACAGCCAGAGGGTAAGAAGATTCAGGACCTTGATAATAGCTTGTATCACACTTTGTAATAGAAATAGTGCACTCCCAATGCACAAATAGCCTATGCTCTGTTGCTTAATAAAATCCTAAGTTTTCCCGAGGAATTTTAATTCGCCGGATGATTGTTTGCTAATATTAGTAACTATGGAGAATTTCCTTTCGGAAGTCTTTAACTACAACACCATCGATATAGACTGACGAAGGTCCTGAAGTGGGTTACCTTGTACAATGTAATTTTCCTCAGAGGGAGAAGGTTCAGATGCCTTGTAAGAGCCATTAGAAAAGCTGATGGAATGCTGGGAGGAATCTATATACTTCTTTTTGTAGGAACTCTCTTCTTCAATTTTTATATCATCACAAGGTTTGAGAATTGGAGAGACCTTGAAGTGGTTATCAGCTATCAGTACTTCTTCATGATAGTCGGGCTGATGGAAATGATATTTATCCAGAAGGTGATCTTCTTCATCTGGTTAATAATCTTGTCTCCAATAATCTTAATAGTCTTGATGATTTGTCTCCCTTTTGCACGCTCGTCAGAAGGAGAGGATTCATATCCTGAAAATGTAGATAATTCCTTCGAAAGTCAAAGAAATCAGATGATTCAAGATGTTCCCATTAGATTGAATGAGAATGGCCCTGGTGACCCTCCTGGTGTTATTAGAAACAGAGAAATGAATATTGACCAGTTCTTACAAAGAATGGCAAATGAAATCGACTCTTTTGAGTTCAGCAGAGACTTAAGTCTAGATCTACCAGAGCCACAGCTTTCAAGAATTAGCTCTGTTGATGCTCTTAAGCGAATGATGGAAAACTGGTCAAGAGATTACCAAGAAAACGACAAACTTACATGCCCTACATGATGAGTGTGCCTAGAAGACTTCAATATCAAAGAAACTATAATAGAGTTGCATTGTGATCCAAAACATGGACACCTTTTTCACCCTGATTGAATTGATTCATGGTCAAAGAAAGAAAAGACTTGTCCTCTTTGAAGGAAGGATTTCGTTGAATTAATTAAAAACTCAATTATCCAGAAATAAAAATAAAGAAGAAGAGAAGAAATCAGAACTCAGCAGGAGGCTCCAGTCAGCTGATCCTATAGACTGAAGTGAGGTATCAGAGGAAAGTAAAGAGCAGTATCAAAGGAATCAAACAAATAGCTTCACAATAAACCACGATCATGAAGCAGTGAGGATGCCAAGAGTCTATCGAAATTATAATATTCAAGGAATGGATGACTATCAGGACTCTTTCCTCGATTAGTATGATAAGGCTTGGTTTTAAGTATGGGCATACATCTTCGGACCATCTAGTAGCTTATTTCTGACAAAAGTATATTCGATAAACCTAAGAATCCGGATAATATTAAATTTATTGACCATTTTTATTGATAATTTTCAACTTAAAATATTAATCTCGGGGTTTTGGGGTTTTGGGGTTTTGGGGTTTTGGGG